AAAGCTTGTTTCAAATATAGAACACGCTCACAATTTAAAGTTAACATAATACAAAATACCATACATTGAGAAGTTTCACTTCCACTCTTGTGACATTAGTTTCCCCTGCCATTATTAGATAACTACTTAGTTTCTTATATATTTCCAATGTTTCAGATACAACCAAAAATGAAAATACACCTTATTTCCCACTTTTCTCACAATTGTACATTTTTTTAATTTAACAATATTTTTGGATAATTTTCCTTATGCATACATAAACATGCATGTTTCCATTCTTTTTAATAACTATGGTACTTTGTTGTGGGATGTACCTGTCTCAGATCAATGGATCCTCGGTTTTTGTTTTTAATGTTACAAAATTACAAATAATGCTGCAATGAATAACCACATATATACATCATTTCATATGTGAGGAGGTTTTATAAAATCTTAGATCCATAATTATTTAATGCTTTTTGTATTTAACTCTTTTCATAGATGAAATACCTTAAAAAACAAAACTATTTTCTCTATTCCTGAGGGATGTTTGCTGATATCCTTGTTTAGCTTCTCTCTGATCTCATCAGATTTCATTGTCAAGCAATATCTTTTTTTTTCAATAGACTTTATTCTTTTGAACAGTTTCAGGTTCACAACAGAATTGAGCAGAAAATACAGAGAGTTCACATATAGCCCTCCCCACCCACACATATGTACTCCCCTACCCTCAACATCCCTCATCAGTTTGGCATATTTGGTACAATCGATGAACCAACATGGTCACATTATTATCAACCAAAGTCCATGGTTTGCATTAGGGTTTACTCTTGATGTTGTACATTCTATGGGTTTTGACAAATGCATAATGACATGTAGCCACTGTAAATCATATAGAATAATTTCATTGCCCTAAAAATCCCTTGTGCTCCATCTATTCACTCCTCCCTTCCTCCCTCTCCTCAAACCCCCTGGAAACCATCATCTTTTTATTGTTTCTGTAGCTGTGCCTTTTCCAGAATGTCATTTGGTTGGAATCATGCAGTTAACAGCCTTTTCAGACAGGCTTCTTTCATTTAGTAATATGTCTTTGAAGTTTCCTCCATGTCTTTCATGGCTTGATCATTTTTTTAACTGCACATGTATTTTTAAATTTACATATATGTACTGTTCATTGTTCCTAAGAACATTTAGAGCTTTAGCTTTTTAAACTTACACAGTTATCACAGGAATGAAGCCAACCACAAAATAAAAAGTAGCTCAAAAAGATACATACACTTTGCTATTAGCAGCAGCATCATTTATAATTGCCAAGATATGGAAACATCCTAAGTGCAAATCAATAGTTGAATAGATAATGGAGATGCAGCATGGAATGGAATACAACTCACCCATTAAAAAGAAGGATATTTTGCCATTTGTGGCCCTTCGCTTTTCTTTTTTTCACGTCAAAACCCAGAATTTTGTAACTGGCAGAGACATTTCCATTACATCAAAAACAACAAGATACCTAGAAATAAACTTAACCAGGGAGGTTGCCTATACTCTGAAAACCGAAATGACACAAAGAAATGGAAAGTCTTCATGTGCTCTTGGTTTGGAAGAATCAACACTATCAAAATGGCCACACTACCCAAAGCGATCCACAGATCCAACCCAAGCCCCATCCCAATAGTCATGGCATTCCTCACAGAACTAGAACAAACAATTCCAAAATGTATAAGGAACCACAAAAGACTGCAAACAGCCAAAGCAATCTGTTGTAGGTCTCTTTTATTTCTTCTCTTTCTTCTCTTTCTTCTCTTTTCTTATGGTTTGATGACTACAGAAGGTTAACATTAGTTGTAAAGCTGGTCTGGTGGTGATGAAATGTTTTAGTTTTAGTTTATGTGTGAAGCTTTTGATTTCTCCATCAATGTACACTTTAACTTTAAAAAAATGGAGAAGAGAGAAAGAATGGACTTCCGTTAAGATTTCAAAGAGCGTCCAGGTTGGTGGACAGGTGGAGATTCAGGGAGAGTGGTGCCCTCCATTGAAGCGTCTTGTCGTTTCCCCATGCGTTGCCCTGTGCATCTCTTCCATCTGGCTCTTACTGAGTTACATCCTTTTATAATACACCAGCGAGCTTGTAAGTAAGGTTTCTCTGTGTTCTGTGAGCTACTCTAGCAAGTTAATTGACCTGGAGGGGGTTTTGGAAAGGTCTGATTTATAGCCAGTTGGTCAGAAATGCTATCTCCAGGTAGACAGTGTCAGAATTTAGTTGAAATGTAGAAGGGCTAGCTGCTGTCCTGCGGATTGCTTGCTGGTAGTGTGGGGAACCCTCCCAACACACACACTGGAATTGGTCAAAACATCTATCTAGGGAAACTGCCACGAACCCTGACAACCCTTCAC